TGTTAGGGCTGGAGTGAGGATGCTATGGTAAAATTTTCAGCTCGATACTCTGACGTTTGACAGAGATATGAATTAAACAAGGGTCGAGAAATAGCTCACCTCATCTCCAAAAATTCTCTGTTTTTCATTTTGAGTATGAAAGGAATCATCAGAAAGAGTCAATTTGGATTGTTCATACAGGTTTTTGTAGAGTTTTTCACGTCGGATCTTCTGAAAAAAAATCGAAATTCTATCATTTGACTGTGCAGATATATTTCAAAAAATTAAATTATGTTTTTTCGAACACCTTCTATTTCATAAACTTGTTTCGCGTTTTTCTCAGAACATGGGTTCGACGGAGTATCTCCAACGCCCTTCTACCCCATTACAATATAATGTCAAATATTTTTTTTTGTTTGAAAGCTCGTGTTTAGGGCTAGGTACCCTCGTGGCCCTTTTTTTAAAATAAGCTTTTTTATTATTAGATAAGAAAGCATCTTTATGGAAACAACACCATTTTTTAGGATTTTTTTGAGTCATTTAACTTGTCATCCCTTTTTTTGCTTAAAAGGTGAGACTTTTTAAAAAAAGGACCACGAGCCCTATAAGATGTGACAGAACGCAAAAATAGCTTGACGCAATTTTTCATATGATCGCAAAAAAATGACGCATTATGTGACGATACAAAAGAAGAGAACAATGAATAATCGCTGGAAGATAATGAACAGGTCACCAAGTGCTTTTATTAAAAGTTAACTCTTGACAGAAATGAATATTTTGAAGTGTTCTAAAAAAGTGAATCGTGACGAATGCGTTAAACAATGCAGTGCTAGGCCACTTTCTCATCACCTTGTAAAGAACAAAATTTTTTAAATGGCTAATTAATTGAAGAATATTTGTGATAATGTTTATAATTTTGAGAATTTTTGTATACGATTATTATATGTGTCTGCAACATATAAATTAAGATTTGTGTCGAATGCGATACTCCTTGGATTGTTCAACAGACTACTACTATTACCAGCAGTAGTATTACCTACAATTGTAATTCCATGTGTTGAATTTGGATAAAACATTTGAATACGATTATTTCCTGTATCTGCAACGTATAAATTACCGTAATGATCAAATATTATACCTCTTGGATTATTCAATAATGTCGAATTTGATCCTGGTGTGCCACTAATACCAGCAATTGTTGTCCCATTGGAACTGTTTAATATCCATTTTGATATTGAATTACGACCGGGATTTGATATGTACATAATATTATTATTAACATCTAAACAGAAACCAGATGGATTATTTAATTGTGAACCCAAATTTCCTGCACCATTTTCACCAGCAACAACTGAACCAGTAGTTGAATTTGGAGTAAATTTCATCACACGTTGGTTAAAATAATCTGTTAAATAAACATTGCCATTTAAATCAAGCCGGAGATTATAAGGTGTCGATAAAAGAGTATTACTTGAACCATTAGTACCATTTCCGGCTATTGTGATACCACTAGTCGAATTATAAGGCCAATATTGTATACGATAATTTTGATTATCAGCAATATATAAATTTTTATTTTGATCTACATATACACCTGTCGGTTTTTTAAGTGCCCCTGAGGCTAATCCAGCTGATCCGTTCGAATAGCCGGCAATTGTACTGCCATTAGATGAATTTGGTAACCATTTTTGTATTCGATTATTACTAGCATCAGCAATATATAAAGTATCATTGCTATCAATAAATATGTCATATGGCCAATACAATTGATTTGGTGCTGTACCATGAATACCATTAGTATCTCCAGCTACTGTTATTCCTGTTGTATTCCACCGAAGATTAGCTACATCTGTATGTAAAAGAACACAACATAATTGATTATATATACAATATGAAAGCCCAAGATTTTCTCTCTTAAAAGTACAATTTTGATAGATCTCAGGCAATAATTTTTCGTTAAAAGTAAGGCGTGCCTAATTCGAAGTTACAGTACTAGATATTTTTATGGTTGGATAGAACTTTTCGAGCTGATCAAGAATATGTCGGTTTTAATCTTATGAACTAATATTTTCAATGAGGAAATTTACAAATACGGGAAGGGTTCTAAATTTCAAAAAGCCTTTCCAGCACGTAAAATTCGAATAATTTCTTCTATATTCCTTTGAGAACTCTACTGTTTCTTTTTTCTGATTCAGCGCATAGAACTGAGCCTAGATCCATTATGTATAGCTTTATCACATATAACATGGCCAAATTAAAAATTTATTTACTACTATCCATCCCAAAATACAAGACCCGTGAGCATTTTTTGAATAACTTTTGATAGGAATGAGATAGAGACCTGCGATTTTCGCTGTTCAATAGCCAAGACTTGAGCAGAACTTTTCACAAGCGGAAGCAACTTTTGAAAAAGTTCCAGAGACCGGGTTTCCAGAGGATCTTTGGAAAATCAGCTTCGTT